GGAACATGATAGTTTCTTCCACTTTTGTAAGTCTCTTTTGGTTTCTTGTAGCAGGTTTTCTAATTCTCTTTGTATAGGTCCTGTGTTTCTGGGGTTTCATTTATTCCTAAATATTTCATCCTTTGGGCAGCTTTATAAATGTTATTTCTTTCCTGAAGTCTTTTTCAGCACTGTCATTCTTGCTATAGAGGAATCCAACTGATTTTTGTATGTTGATCTTCTACCCTACCACTTTGCCGAATCTTCCAGTAATGTCTAGTAGCTTTTTACTGAGTCTTTGGGATATTCTATGTACAGGATAATATCGTCTGCAAATAGAGTTTTATTTCCTCTTTGCTTGTTTGATTGCCTTTAATTTCCCTAACTTGCCATATAGCTCTGGCTCATCCTTCCAAAACAGTATTGAAAAGGAGTGGTGACACAGGGCATCCTTGTCTGGTTCCCGTTCGCTGAGGAAAGGCTTTCAGTTTCTCTCCATTGAGAGTGATGTAGGATGTTGGTTTTGTCTATATACTCTTGATTATGTTGAAGAATTTCCCTTCAATTCCTACTTTGTTGAGTGTTTCTATCAGGAATGGATGTTGGATTTTTTCAAATGCCTTTTCTGTATCAATCGATATGATCATGTGGTTCTTTTCCTTTTTTTATTTATGTGGTGGATTACATTGATTGTTTTTCTAATGTTGAACCATCCTTGCATCCCTTTTATGAAACTCACTTGGTCATGATATAGTTTTTTTTTTTTTTTAACGCCAATGCTGGTTTGATAGTTAAACTCTGTGATTTTTTTTTTGCTGTGTTGCTGGATTCTGTTGGCTAGGATTTTGTTGAGAATTTTTACGTCTATGTTCATGAGGGATATTGGTCTGTAGTGTTCTTTCTTAGTGATATCCTTCCCTGGTTTTTGTATGAGGATTATGCTTGTTTGATAAAAAGTATTAGAAAGTTTTCCATTCTCTTCTATATTCTGGGATAATTTGAGTAGAATTGGTGACAGCTCTTCCCTGGATGTTTGATAGAACTCACCAGTGAAGCCGTCTGGGCCTGGACTTCTTTTGGTTGGGAGTTTTTTGATGACCTGATCAATTTATTCTTTTGTTATGGTTCAAGTTTTCTACTTCTCTCTATGTAAGTTTTGATAGGTCGTGTTTTTCTAAAAATGCATCCATCTCTTCTAAGTTTTTGAATTTTTTGGAGTACAACTCTTCATAGTATTCTGTCATTATCCTTTTGATTTCATTTGGTTCCATTGTGACATCACCCGTGTGGTTTCTAATGCGAGTTATTTGTGTCTTCTCCCTCTTTTCTTTGGTTAGGTTTGCCAATGGTTTGTCAATTTTATTAATCCTTTCAAAGAACCAGCTTCTTATCCTGTTGATTCTTTCTATAGTTTTTTTTTTTTTGTTTTCCATCTCATTGATTTCTGCTCTTATGTTTATTATTTCTTTTCTTTTGGTGACTGTAGGTTCCCTCTGTCGGTCAGTTTCTAGTTGTTGGAGATGCTATGTTAAATGTATTAATTTTGGTTCTTTCTTCTTTTTGGATGTGTGCATTTAGCACAATAAATTGTCCTCTCAGCACCGCTTTCACAGTGTCCCAAAGATTTTGATATGTTGTGTTTTCATTCTCATTTGATTGTAGGATCTTTGTGAATTCACATTTAATTTCTTCTTTTACCCAGTTGCTTTTCAGCAGAGTGTTATTCAGTTTCCATTTATTTGGGGAAAATTTTGCTCTAGGTATGAAAGAAATGAAATCAAGCATGTTGCTGAACATTTTAAATGCTTTTAAAGTGTAACTTTGTATTGTTGTTGTTAGGTGCTGTCAAGTTGATTCTGACTCATATCAACCCTATGCACAATAAAATGAAACACTAACCAATCCTGTGCCATCATCACAATCATTCCTGCTGCCATTGTGTCATTTCATTTCCTTGGGGGGAACAAATTGAAGATGTCAAAGACTTCATTTTGCTTGAATCCATAAGCAACACTTATGGAAGTAGCAGTCATGAAAACAAATTTTTGTTGCATTAGGAAAATTTGCTGCACAAGATCTCTTTAAAGTGTTCAAGAGCAAAGATATCAGTTTGAAGTATTTTAAATTTGAAATGAACAAATCATTGATTTTGCATAATTCTATCATGCAATGTCCAGCAACATTTCTATCACCAAGGCCATGTTTTCCAACTACTGATCCTTCCTCTTTCTTCCCAACCTTTGTATTCCATTCACCAGTAATGATCAATACATCTAGATTGCATGTTTGATCAATTTCAAATTGAAGAAGTTGGTAGAATTCTTCTATTTCATCCTTACTGGCTTTAGTGGTTGGTGCATAAATTTGAATAATAGTGATATTAACTGGTCTTCCTTGTAGGGGCATGAATATTATCCTATCACAGACAGCGTTGTACCTTATGACTGATTTGGATATGTTATTTTTGTTGTTGTTCTCTCTGTTTTTGTTTTAGTGTTTATGAATGCAAAATTTGGGTAACATGTCCTCCAACTTAAAATTTGGTTCACAAAAATATATACAGGTTCCTCCTATAACAAAAATAAATTAATCTTTACAGTTACAAAAACAAAATTTTGACATAGGCCTGAGTGAGCTTGGAAAAACAAGTTAGGATGTGTTTCAACATATGGAGGAACATTCTAGAATCCATCTAGAAACATTTGGCAGAATAAATGACCTGGTGCTACTGGTGGTGTTGTGCCTTAGGAAGTGAGAGAGGGTGCATGAAAAGGAGCTAGAGACTCACAACAGCCAGAGTATCACGCACTCAAAATTAACCACAACCCAATACAGAGTATTTAATAGTAGAACCATTTTAACAGTGTGAGTCTAGGTCCGGAAATCTGTTGTAAGCTTAAAACAAGTACCTCAGTAGGAAGAATATTCGACGTTTATAAGACTTTGAACATAAGAAAACATCATTCACAGATAATGTCTTGTGTACAAGTACGTTCATTTCCAGGACACTGAGGAAAACCATAGAACGAACACACAAAGTAAAAATCTAAGCTGCTTAACCTTCCACCATTCTCTTGAATATTAAACCCAGGCCACCTTTGGCCACTTGCCGGGGTGTTTTTATTCTCATTGTAAATACTTGCTCCTTGGGACACCAGCAGTTTTGCTTCTTCCACTCTCTCCTCATCACCAGTTAAGTGTAGAGGAGTGTTACCCCCAGTGTCTTGGGTATTTTTGTGGATGCTTTGTAGTACAGAAGGATATGAATCATCTTCAAGGTGCCCTTGGCTACTGCCCAGTGCATTGCTGTTGCCTCAAAATGGTCCTTAGCATCTGGATTAGCCCCACCTGCTAGCAACATGACAGCAATGCCTGTTTTTGGAAGCTACATAGTACAGGGGAGTACAGCCACTCTGATTGACAGCATTCACTTGAGCACCTTTTCCCAGAATGGCTTTTACAGTCTCATCCCAGCCAGCAGAAGCAACAATATGAAGAGGAGTCCAACCTGCATCATCTTTATCATTCACTGGCACTCCAAGCTGTAACAAGAATTCAACTATTTCTGTGTGTCCTGCTGAGCATGCCCAATGCAACACAGTTCTGTTGTCCTGGATTGTTTTAGTAGCCAAGAATTTATCAGCCAGGATCCTTTCCTTCAACTTCTCCATCTTCTCACTGTGGGCCAGGTTGCAGACCATTAGGTTAGACACACACCCCTCCATTTCGCTTTCCTCAGCTTCTCCCAAGGTATGTTTATTTTTTTTTTACCATTCCTCTTCAATTTGTCATTCCCGGCATAGTAAGCTATGTGGTTGTCAGATTCACAATGGCCAATACCAGTCCATTTCAGCTCTCTAATGCCTAAGATATTGGTGTTTTTGCATTCCATTTCATTTTTTATAACTTCCAATTCTCCCAGGTTCATACTTCATACATTCCATGTTCCGATTTTCAGTGGATGTTTACAGCTGTTTCACTTCATTTTGAGTTGTGCCCCATCAGCAAATGAAGGTCCCGTGGGCTTTTCTCCCATGGGTTTTACTCCATTCATGTCATCACTGTCAACTCTACTTAGAGGAGGCAGCTCTTCCCCAGTCTCATTTTGAGTGCCTTCCAACATGAGGGGCTCATTTTCTGGCACTATATCTGACAGTGTTTCAATGCTCTTCATAAGGTTTTCAGTGACTAAATATTCGGAAGTAGTTCATCACTCCTTCTTCCTAGTCTGTCTTCATCTGGAAGCTCATCTGAAACCTGTCCACCATGTGTGACCCTGCTGGTATTTAAAATACCGGTGGCATAGCTTTCAGAATCACAGCAACTCACAAGCCACCATAGTACACAAACTGACAGAGGAGTGATGGTTGATTCTCGTAGGATCTTCTTTATTCATTGTCCAGCTTTCACATGCGTATGAGGTAATTAAAAATACCTCAAACTGATATCTTCTCTTGAACACTATAAAGAGTCTTGTGTGGCAAATTTTCCTAATGCAACAAAAACTTGTTTTTGTGACTGCTACTTCCATGAGTGTTGATTATGGATCCAAGCAAAATGAAGTCTTTGACATCTTCAGTTTGTTCTCCATTTATCATGATGCTATTTATTAATCCAGTTGTGAGGATTTTTTTGGTTGTTTAAATTGAGGTGTAGTGTATCCTGAAGGTTGTAGTCTTTGATTTTCATCAGTAGTATTTTACGTCTTCTTTTATTTCAGCAAGCAAAGTTGTATCATCTACATATTGCAGGTTGTTAATGAGTCTTACTGTAATCTTGATGCCACGTTCTTCTTCATATAATCCAGTTTCTCCGTGTTATCAGTGAATTTTACTTCTTTTGGAATTTTTTTCCAGGTTTTTAGAGGTGTATTATTTACTTTAATCAAATCTCAATGCTATATAAAAATACTCTATATAGTACTATTTAATATAAGTATAATATATTACAATTCTTTACTTTGGTGAAGAATACAGATTTATTTACTTTAACCTAAAAATTAGTTTCCTTTCATTTCTCAGATCCATTAATATAAGATTAGCTACTGTCTTGGATACTCCTGGTGTTGAAAACCTCGTTAGTACCCTCATGCTGAGTAACAACATATTGGACGATTTAAACCAATATAATACATCTCACGGAGACCCTGTAAGTACCTGCTGGGACAAAACTAGTGTCCTTTCCTGATGAATGTCACCGTGTGACCCTGGGAGTCTCATCCCCAAAGCTCCCTTGCACTTCAATTGTACAATCACATGGTAGGACTTAGTGGAGGTGGGGTTAGAAGACGGATGTAAGGATACAAAAATGAGGAAACTGAGGTTTAAGGAATTGAGGCTATCTTCCTCATAGGTGGTGCCGCGAGGAGTCTGATTGTTGTTATTAGGTACGATTGAGTCAGTTCTGACTCATAGAGACTCTGTATTGGGTTTCTGAGGAACCACTAGTGAACTTGAACCTCCAAACTTGTTGTTCAAACTGATCTTGCAGTCCAGCACATTAACCCACAGTGCTGCACCAGGACTCCATTTTGCTGTTGTTAAGTTCTGTTGAGTTGATTACAACTCATAATGAATTACAACTCATATAGGGTTTCCGAAGAGCAGGACTCCATTGGTGGTGGTGGTGGTGGTAGGTTATGTGCCATGGAGTCGGTTCCAAGTGACCCTGCATAGGGTTTTCGAGGCTGCAAATCTATATGGATGCTTCACCATTTTCCCTTGGAACGGCTGGTAGTTTCGAACTGCTCACCTTGAGGTTAGCAGCCCAACTCATAACCACTACATTACCAGAGCTCCTTAGGATTCAATTAGATACCCTAAATTACTTTCAGGAGGATGGGAAATTTGGGCCTGATCCAGACAAGCGTTCAAAAACAAGATAAACCGTAGTCATGGGATAGATAAATATGACAGTCTTTAGGGAAGGGTAGTTCAGGAATCCATGATACCTGGTACCTACCCCAACAACACTGGGTATCAGAATTAGCACAGAATGTGATGACTCAACAAGGTGATGAGTCTGGTCAGACCTTCTTGGTGAGGAGGCTGTGTCTACCAGGATGAGATGGGTAGGGAAAGATACTGTATGGCAAATGTTGGCTTCCCTTTCAAAGATAGCAATGCATGTGCTATGGCAAAAGTCAGGCTAGCTGCGGTCCTTTTGTTAACAGTGCTTTAAGGACCATGCCAGTTAATTTAACCAGACACAGAGCAGTGCATGTGGTTAGCAAACCGTTTCATTATTTTTGCTAAATTTTATTTTGAAAAAAATAAAAATAAAAATTGAAGTCTTAACTAGTAAATATCTAGTAAATATTTTGAAAGAGTTCTTATTTTAAATATACTGTGTAACCAGCACCTGTTTCAAGAAACAGACTAATACCAGAGCCTGCCAGAAGCCCCCTCATGCTCCCATTTAGCCTCTTTCCTTGGGTTAATACCACCTTGCTGTCTAAGATAATAGGTTATACCTATTTTTGAACATTATATAAATGGAATTATACAGTATGTTCTCTTATATCAGGCTTTTTTTTTGTTAACAGTATGCTTGTGAGATTCATTCATGTTGTGGCATAAAGTACCCCATGGCTTGGATATACCACAATTCATTGTTTCACTTTATTAACAGGTGTTTGGGTCATTCCTAGTTGTTTCTTTAATAAATCTTTTAGTTAATTTTTGTAAGTCATCAGGAAAGAGTCATTGAAAACCTACCCAAATTTCAACAATGTTTATGAAGTTATCAAATCAAAATAACATTTCCCCCCCAGCAAATCTTTATTGTTTTGATTTGCCTTTACCTCTTTGTTCCTTCATTTTTTGCTGCTTCTTTCCTATATCTTCAAGCAGTATGATTTTGGGGTCTTAAAATGTGGTCTACCAATCCTTGGGGGTTTCCAAGACATGAATTGCCAGGGGGTCTATGAGATGATAAAAAATTTGTAATAATAATAATTACTTTCCTTTACACTGCATCGATACTTACACTGATGGTTCAAAAGCAGCATGGGTAATATTTCTGGAGGCTTAGTGTAAATCAAGGCAGAGGTTCAAAAAGTCAAAGTAGGCAGCACATTCTTCACTACCATACACTTCACAATACTAAGAAAGAAAATTCACAATAAAATATCACTGCACACCTCTCAAAATGTCTAAGTTAAAAATAGTGACACCATCAGACTATGGCAAGATTGCAGAGAAATGGGGTACCTCATACATTGCTGATGGAGATGTAGAATGGTACAGTCACTCCAGAAAACATTCTGACTTTTAAAAAGACTAAGCATACAAATACTATATGACTTAGAATTGTGTTCCTTGGCATATATCCAGAGAAATGAAAATGTGTACACTAATGTTCATAGAAATTTACTTAATAGCTCCAAACTAGAATCAGCCCACATTTCCTTCAGTGGGAGAATCATTAAACTGGTACATCCACAGTTTGTTTAATGAATAATGGAATACTACTTTATGATAGAAAGGAATGAACTATTGATACATGCAGCAACTTAGATAAATCTTCAGGGAATTAAGCTGAGTGGGCGGGAAAAATCTATTCCCTAATAGTTACATACTGTATGATTCCATTTGTATAGCATTTAAAAATGTTAGCATTTTAGAAATGAAAAAGAGATTACTCATTGCCAAGAGTTACAGAAGGGGTGAGGAGGCATGAGATAGTGGGCGTATGAAAGAGCAACACAGTGGTGACTCATCGTGTCACCCTCCCTCCACCCCCCATCCCCATGGGCATTCTCCCCTCCAGACCATATAGAACACTTAGAAATATTTATTACCAATTTTAATCACAGAATGAATAATATGTGATAAATATAATTATAAATTGCTTAAATATAATATTTAAGTTATATGAATACTAAGCAAAATTGTTTGGTAAAATCTTTCTACATTGAATTACAACCTTATTTGTTAGTGGAAACCTTTTTTTATTTTTCTCCTTCTTTTCCTTCAATTAGTACTTCCTTCTCTAAAAAGTTATTGATACAGGTTCACATTCACAACTGTTACTTATCACAAAGAGTCCTGGTATAGTGTGGCAGGATAATGCACTCGGCCAAAAGGTTGGTTTGAACCACAAGATCCGCGGGTCAAACTCACTAGCTGCTTCTCAGAAACACTATCAATCAGAACACGCTCAATGGCACTTAACAACAATACTTAAAATAATATCATAGTTAAAACACCAAAATATTTGACAAATTCAACAGTTATAAATATACCAATTGCCTATGCTTGCTGTGAGTACAGAAGAAACTTATCTGCATCTGGACATCATTGTAACTGAGTAATAATGACAGTTCTGACTATAGTGCATTAAACTCATTCTCACTGAGCCGATTCAGACACATAGCAACCCTCTAGGTCACCGCTAATAGAGCTGCTTCTTAGGATTTCGTCTCAAGAGTGTAAATCTGGGGAGCAGACAACCGCACCTTTCTCCCACAGTGTGGCTGGTGGGGCTGAATTGTCAACCTTGAGATAAGCAGCCCAATATTTAACTCACTGTGCCCCCAGGCCTCCTTGGCCAGAGTTCATTGTTGTTGTTAAGTGCCATTGAGTCGATTCCCACCCATAGCAACCCTATTTAGGGTTTCCAAGGAGCAGCTGGTGAGCATGAACCACCAACCTTGCAGTTCAAATGACTTTGTAGCCTGACGCATTTGCCTACCTTGCCGCAGTTTTAGCCTTCTGGGCATATTGGTACATGTATGCTGGGCTTATGAGAAATGTTTTTTTGTTGTTGTTGTAACTAACTATAGGCATATTTTTTATAAAAATATTTTATAAAATTTCTACTGAAGCACTGCACCAAAAATGTTATAGGAAATCATTTAGGTGCCACCCCCTTCCGATGGTCTCATTTGGCATAGTCCACAGCTCCGGTAGCGTAGGGGTTACGAATCGGGCTGCGAACCTTAAGGCTAGCAGTTCGAAACTACCAGCTGCTCCGCGGGAGAAAGATGAGGCGTTCTGCTCCCGTAAAGATTTACAACCTTGGAAACCCTGTACAGGGTTCGCTATGGTTGGAACCAACTCGATGGCAC